CGAAGCAATTATGCGAGACGTCCTCAATCTTTGAACTTGACAACATCAAAAACGAAGCAATTCTGCGAGACTTCCTCAATTTTTGAACTTGACACCATCAAAAACGAAACAATTCTGCGAGACTTCCTCATGTTTTTAAGTTGACAACATTAAAAACGAAGCAATTCTGCGAGACTTCCTTCAAAAATGGAAAGTTGAGTGCACAGCTGACGGCCTCGTGCCAATGCGTTTTGCGATTTTTCCACTCCACCTGTCTAAAGTGCTGCGCCTGCCAGGAAAAAGTGATGCCAGGTCATACGAAGTGCTGCGCCGGTCACGCGAAATCATCTCAGCAAACCTGAAGATCTGATGCTCCAAAATGCAACCCCTCTCAGGAAATCAGCGCCCGGACCGGACCTCCTAACAGCTCTGATGAACATGTCTCTTGTACCGCGCCTGCCACGGAAAATGCATCCTTCCAGATCCTCTTCAAGTGTCCCATGCCTGCCATCGTTTTTGCAATGCTACACAACCCTCATGTTTGCTCACTTTTGACAAGGTGCAAAATCCCTTGCGATTGCCTCGCGAAACGGCATCTGAACGTCCAAAAGTGGTCCGAACATGTAGTGTTTTTAACATTTTGGCCTCGAAATGTGCTTCGTGCCACAACAGTGTCCACTTTTTCGACATCTCAACTTCCAAAAGTGGTCCGAGCATGGTGTGTTTTGTACATGTTGACTTGGAAATGTGCTTCGCGCCACAACAGCGTGCATTTTTCATCATCTCAACTTCCAAGAGTGGTCCGAACCTGGTGTGCTTTGTACATTTTGACTTGGAAATGTGCTTCGCGCCACTTTTTCGACATCGCAACTTCTAAAAGTGCTCCGAAGCTGAGGTGTGCTGAGGTGTTTTGTATATTTAGTATATTTTGAGTTCGAAATGTACTTCGCGCCACAGCGGCGTGCAATTTTTCATCTCTCATTTGGACAGCTGGCTCCGCACCCGCCGCTTTAGCGAGCCTACTTTTCGACCCTCCGGAGCCACAAATCATTGGAAAAACACAGTGTTTCGCGACTTTCCTACCTTTTCGCGCACCTGGATCTTCTTTCTTCTGAGACTTTCTCTTTTTTGATCTTCTTTCTTCTTCTTCTCTGACTCCTCCCAGCTCTGCCTTTCATTTGTCCATATCGTCGGAAGTTTGACTTCTAAACTTCCTTCGATCATTAAATTCTGGGCATTTCTGGGCACCGTTTCATCTCGTATCTTGCGCTGACCTGTTCAGGTTGAGGCCGTGGCACAGCGGGCCATTGCAAACCTCGACCGTGCGGAGGAAGAAACCACAGCCACTTGGTCTTTGACAATATTTCTTGAAATGAACTAAATATGACCTAAGAACATGTTTGATAGTTCAGGCACTTTTTGTTAAATTCATCAGACCCCTGAAAGTTCTGCCGACAGCTCTAATAGAAATCGAACGAGAAACAACCCTGGCCCAACAACTGAAGCCAGAACCCCGTTTCGCATAATTTTGGCATCGCCAGATGAGAGGGAAAACGAAAATCATACCTACATGAGATGCATGCAAAAATGAAAACACATTGACTGTTTCATGTTGATTTGTAGCTGATTGGTGACTTGCAAATCGACCACCTTTTTGCAATTAAGTTCCGACCATACCTTTTGACTACTTCCATTCAGAAAATGACATAAGTCCCATGAGAGGATGAGAGTGCATAGTGTTGTACACATTGGTTTGTGGCTGTTCTTAATCCTTCCCTAGGCAAACCTCATGGCCTCGCTTTTGGAAAGTCTTGAAGGCCACTCTCACATGCTGTGGCGTGGCCAGTTTTGTCTTTCAAATTGCGGGATGTCGCACATGGATTCTCAACCTTCAAGTCCAGAGCCAGACATGGTAATTGGATGCAATTTTGGTTTCAAAACTGTGAAACAAAAGCATTCTACTTCTTCCAAGAGGTGCAGCATGAATCATCATGGATCAGATGCACGGGAGGTGAGCCCCTTTCCGAGCCGATCTTCTCGACAGTCACAACCAACGCAGGGTCGGAAGTCACCGCCGGGTTGCTCTGGGATGCATGTGCATAGCGCCGTCCAGACAACTAGCAGTACTAGCATGAACAGATATGAACAGATATGAACAGATATGAACAGATATGAACAGATATGAACAGATATGAACAGATATGAATAGGATCAAGATGATCAAACAGGTACTGGAAAGGTGAGTCAGTGGAGGTTCTTCAAAGTTGTGGCAACTTTGCCTCAGGCTTGGTACAGTACATACTTGTAGATTGTTTCTCCCAGCAGTCCATCGTTTGAAAGATGGAGCAATTCACAACGGTTGACAAGAGTTTGGCATGGATTTCTAAAGCAAAGAAACAAAACATGCTATCATGTTCATGCTATCACAGCAGAGTTCTGTCGCAACAATACATGTGCATTGTGTGGTTCCTTGGGTTTTCTTGAGGTCGCTCTGCTGACATTTGTGGCAGCTGCAAATCAAGGAGCTGGGCGGAGAGAAGCGGTGAAGTGGTCAAAAGTTTTTTTTTCCCGTAGTGGAACCGTTCTGTAGACAGCAAGTTCCTTGATTGTGAAACCTCTAATAGAGGATTACGTCTCCCTCGCTGGCGATCGTTAGACTTTCCCCTGGTATTTTGACAGTGGAGCTGCATTTGTGCCCAGGACAGCCACAAATTGATGTCGTAGCAGTGACAAGCGACGGCAGCTTCGCTCCCAAGGCCATAGAACGTTGATGTAAAAGCGCAGTGCATTGCAGTGCGATGTGACCCGAAATGTATGCAGATAGAGACATATGTGACATATGGACCACATGGACCACGGTGACACGCCGAGTCTAGAGCTAAAGGAGCCTAATGGACCCTATTGGACCCTGATCCCGGTGAATGATCCCAATGATACCCAGATGATACCTTTGGACCATCTGCCCAATGATATCTGTGCTGTTCTGTGCTCAGGTAGCTGTACCATTGAGGGTCTTGGACCAGCTGAGCGGCGGTGGTGCAGCTCCTGCAACTTGGCACGGTGAAGTTTCGGAAAGGTGTCTTCGACTGTTGAAACCCAAATTTAATGATCAATGATGCAAGTGGCCCAAGTGGCAATGGATACTGCTGTCCTGACACTGGAGTCGCTAGCGGCTACTAGCATCTTGAATTTTGCTTTTGAGGTAGTAGTTTCAGAGCTGCTCCTGCGCGATTCGGTAGTCTTTGATAGCTCCTTTCTGCCCTTCTTGTTTTGTAAATTGAGACTTTTGTCATCTTAGGTGGCTATCTCCGTCAGCAAGATTGGCGGACAGGCCGCTAGTGACATCGAGGCTGGTGACATATTTGGCGACTGGGAATCATGCAGTTGGTGTATTCGGAGGCTGTAGATTTGTAGACTGATGCATCCTCAAAGCTTTGTGTAGTACCAAAAACATGGACTTTGAAAGACAGTCCAAGTCCAGGTGTACCGTGTATCTGCCGAGTCTACCCATGGAACCAAAAGCTCTCCTTCCCGAGGTTCTCGTGATACTTGCATGAGCATGTTGGAGCCGTCTGATTCGCAGGCTGTAGGTTTGGCAAAAGCCGCGGAATACGCTCGAGACAACAACCTCACAGCGGAGGCGCTTGCTGCGGTGACATGACCGTTTTGAAGATATGTGATATGGGATACATGGATTATACATGGTACAGAAATGTACAGAATAATATAGGGACATTTAATATGGACCTTAAGCCCAAGCAACAGGCAGGGGAATTACAGCTTCCCGAGGAAGACCTGAGGGTGATAGAATGAAAAACATTATATATCCATATATATCCATCAACGACTTGTTCCTCCTCGCAGAATTGCTCCAGAGAAAGTGGTTGCCAGATGCCTCTAAGACAGTTAAGACAGTTGAAATCATGGTGCTCCTCTTTGCAAGACAATATGAAGTTGAGGTAGTTTATAAAGTTTATACTGGTTTATAGATGTTTACAGTACTATATTAGTACTAGTACTATATATAGTCCACCTCCTAGCCGTTTGACTTTGATGTTCGAGGTCATCTAATGTGAAACTTCTGATCGAATCGTCAGGAGCGTGGCCCCAGCCTGTTGGGACAGCCTTTTTCCATCACTGTCTATGACAGCAACGGCCAACCCCTTGAAGGTTGGGACGGCGGCACACTTCGACACGCTCTTTCTTCAATCAGACTTGGGCCTGGTGAAAAGCTTCTTTGTCACTGTGCAGTGTCATCCAAATCCAAACATCTCGAATAGTCTCATAGAATCATAAAAATGTTTGCAGTAATGCACAGTGGCACAGCCTGCCAAGACAGCAGACGCAGTTTATGTATGTACTAGTGAGAAAACAAAGGTCTTCACGAAGTCTTCATGCTGGTTTCCAAGAAGTCCTGTTACCACGGGATTTTTTTGCGGCTCGCTCCTTAAGCTCTCCGAAAGGCTTGCAATTGTCTGAGCCAATGACGCTGACCATTTCGGACTGCCAAGGGGTATGTTGGGGTAGGACATGGTAGGACCGTGTAGGAGATTATGGAGGATTATGGAGATTCGAGTATCTAACTTTGATTTAACTTTGACCCTGCTTGCCTTGCCTCCAAGAGTTGTGGAAGAGTTGTAGTTCAACCGATTTTCGAGGATTTTCATGATTTGTGTGTGTGCTTTCAGGAGTCGTTGCTGGGGTCTTGTTAAGTGTTTCTCTGGGGCAAAGAAATGAGGGCAACTCGAGCCTTGCAAATTGCTTCACTGATATTGGAACCATTTGGAACCTAAATTGTAAGCATATCAGTCAGTTATATAATTGTTGCCTCCACTTCGATTTCATATGCTGGCCATCCCAAATTGTAAGCATCATGGATGTTCAAGCAGAGTGTCCACTGTTATCCTGAAACGTTTGGGAGGCTTGAATAAAGCGAGTCTTGATTATTTCAGAGGCACTAGGTTCTACCGAACTCCGCAAATGCATTGTAGTTCCAGCTGCCTTCAGTGGCATATTGGACAGGAAGAGGCCAATTCCTCCGTTGCCTGTGCTTTCTTCAACACCACAACCTATCGATGGTCAACAAAAGGGGTGAGGCCAAGTCCAGCTCCACAGATCCACTGGATGCTGTTTTCACCCGTGTGTGTTCATGCAGCTTTTCAGATTTTCAATTTGCTGAGTTTGCCCTCTCCACCGCACAGGCGCGTGGCTTCCACCAACGTCTCCTCAGATACGCAGGGAGCTTTGAACCATAGGGTCGATGGATTAGTGCTGCTTACTACGGACAGAAATGAGAGTCCAATGCAAACCGCTAGGGTTGAACATGGGTTGAACATACAAATGCATTTAATCCGCCAGTCCTTTAATTCAACCCAATCAAATCCAAATGCATTCGATCATCTCCTGCCTGCCGGGGTTGCAGAGTCAACGCTGGTATTTTTTGCGCACCTTTGGGTTTTTCTTCCCTGTTGGTTTTGTGCATGACGATATGTACTGGTGACTTACCAACAGACAGCAGTCTGTGCTTCTCCGGCAGTTCTAGACAGTTTGCACATAGAGCAATAGGACAAAGCCTTGGAAAGTTGGCCCAAAGATGCCACCAGCATAATTTCTATCCTTGCACAAGGCTGCTATGAATTGCTATGAGCTACAGGACTTCCCCATTTTCCGTCTTTCTTGTGCAAGCGTAAGTCACGAGTCACTACTGTGTGTACTCTCAGCCATGGATGTCCTGACTCACTTGGGACTTGGGGTGTGTCATCTTTTGCTTGCGAGGCTGCAACCCTTGGTCTGCGAGACGGATCACTTGAGTATCTTTGGAGGAGTTTTGAATGTCCCAGAAGTGTGGGTGCCCGACTTTCGATGACTTCTGGGCTGGCCTTTTGCTTGTTGCCTTCCACACGAGGAGTGTCTGCGTGCGAGAATTGGACTGTAAGATCCCAAAGAAAAAAAACAATTCAAGGATTATTCAATGTGCTGGAGAAGATATTGTCCTTCCAAAAAGCGTCACACAAATGTTGAAAGAGTCAGAGTGGCCAGTCACACAAATGTTGAATGAGAAGAATTCTTCTCCTGGTTCGATGTCTGAGTGTCTTATAGAATTACTGAAAGATAGTTGTGGTCGGAACGAGTCGGAATAATACGCTTCAACTTGGAGTCATTCAGGGCCAGGCAACACAGGGTAGAGGGATATCAAGGGATCACTTTTATGCCTGGCCAAGATTGAATTGGTTTCGAACGGTGAGAATTTCTGCTTGAGCTGTCGGCCCTTCAGGTTGACAGACAAGATTATCAAGTCATCAATTTCGTCAGAGTCCCAGTGGAATTCTGTGCGTCAAGTCTGAAATGTTTGGATGGTGCCATGCTCCTTTTGCTGTTGTGAAAACAATATTTTATTTGTTGAAATGCTCTTCTACGTGTCTTGTCTTTGAACCCTGGCGCTTTGAAAACCTCATCAGCTATTTGCGACTTCAATCTGAGGAACAATCCAATATTGGCGGTGGTGGAAGCAGCAGTGAGTGGATGAGCTCAGAGTCAATTGCCACGACTTGCGCCCTGAAATTGTGGTGGTGCTGTCAGCACCACTGAGGAACTCTTAATTTTGAGAATCGTATCATGTTCGTATGCAACATTTGGATCGTTGCAATGGATGTTCTGGTCTGTGAAAGAGTCTCATACCTCCCAGCGTGAGAAAACACCTGAACCTTCGACGGGTTTTGTCGCCCTTTACGCATCAAGCAAGGACCGAGCCATGAAAAAAAACCATCGGTTCAATCTGTGTTGGTTGAATCTCCGGTGAGTCTAAGGGATGGAGATGGGGTTGCTGATGGCCCTGTGGACCAGGCGCGCTGGAGACAGCCTTAGGCGCCTTTTGGTAGAAACAGAGTTGCACTGTGCCAAGAGCAAACAGATCATACTTTGTTCCCGACAAACGGACGTCATATCAAAGTGATATGCTTCTGAATTTACATGAATTTCACATGAATTTACCGACTCTATCGGTCTGTGTCGGCCTTCAGATGTTCAGTCTTTTCTTGACCTCCGCAGGTTGGACAAGTGGTGGAGACCATCATCAAATGTACCAGGAGACTGCTGGGTGCTGGAGTAGTTTCTAGAATACTTAGCACGTAGCTGCGCTCAACGAAATGGAAGCTGCTAGCTCGGATTCAAATCTGGCCTGGACACAATCACAAGACTCCCTTCACATTAGTGATCATTAGTTCACATAATGGACAATTCGTTACTGGCAGGGCGGCTGGAATCTTCTCAGCAGAGGGCATGGAAGCGCTTGGAAAAGGCTGGCTCAGGGTATTAAGGATTGACTCCCCAGACAATGCTTTGGGTGGTGCCTGAAAAACATCATAGACACACAAAAATCTCAGCAATTGCATGTCCACTCCGAGCAAGACATGGAAATGCGGAAGCAGAAACAACAAATCAAGCATCACACGTATGAAACACGAAAGATTCGACGGCTTCAGGACGGGACCCCTACCGGACCCCTACTGGACGGTATGGGAAGCCCATTGGAACATTGGAAGTCCCTGGCATGGCCTGAGGCAGTTGGTCTTCAAGCAGCTCCGCAATCGCCTTGTGGGCCCGATAGCCGAGTCCAACTCCACCGAGAAAGCGAATCCAAACCAAGTCCAACCCGAGCTTTGAAACTTTGGGAAGGTGCTGATTATGTGTTGAGATGTGTTGAGTATGTTGAGTACAAGATGTACTTCTGGAATGTTGATAATGTTGTGGATAGTTTCCATCCAACGAAGTTATAAGTAGCCGGGTGACTTGCCACGTGCCACGACTTGCCACGTGCCACAACTTGCCACGACTTGCTGCCACGACTTGCCACGTGCCACGACTTGCCACGACTTGCCACGACTTGCCACGACTTGCCACGACTTGCCACGACTTGCCACTTTCTTGCGCTCCGCGCCGCAAGTCGCTCGCCCAAAGTCACCCAAGGCCACTCTGATGCTCCTGTTCTTCAGCGTTGTGGCCGCCTTCGCTCGAGACCTCACGCGTAACCAGACCAGGCAGCGAGGGAAGAGGGAGGAAAAATCTGGAAAAATCTCAACTGAACGGACACCAGATTGACAAAGTGACAAATGGATACAAATGGTGTGGATTCATGATTCATCTATATTCATCTGCAACTTTTTGCATCACATCCTTGAGCCAATTTGGATGTCCCCATAGCTCGTTGTCGCAACTTTTAACAGTGGCAGTACTTTTGGCTAATTTTTCATTTCCATTCAGGGCTGAAGTCCAGAGGAACTTGCGGGTGAGAGCTTTGTATAGAGATGAAAGTTGCAATATCTGAAAAGCGATCATTTCAGATTGTGAAGTGCAGGTGGATGGGACAATTGATGTCAGTCACGTACCCTGATCAGCAAGAGGAGGAGGAGGCAGGGCCTATAAAGACCTGGCGAGTATTCGGAGTTTATCATTTGAATCAAAAAGATTTGTCAATCGATGCATTGCCAAAGTGTCTGATCTATCGGAAATCTATTTGCACACCGATTTCCTCAGCTTTGAAAAAAAAATATTTTCTGGCTGCAAGCTCAGCCACTGCAGCGATAGTAGCGGCTCCACTTCTTTGGGGTACTTGGTGCCTCGGGGCTTGGATGGTTCACTTGTCAGGAGGTCATAAAGCCGATTTCAGTTTTAGCCAATTTTTGCCAGGATGACGTTGATGAACCTAAGGAGGAGCATTGGGAACAGGGTTATTTAGAGTTTTAGAGGTCGATAGACTGCCAAATTGCGGTTAACAGCTTCAGGACTTCAGGGTACTTGGAGTAGCAGTTTCATTTCGTTGGATGCGCAGACACATTCATCTTGCAATGCTCGAGTGCCTCCGCTTCTGCAGTAGCGGCAGGATCGCGCCAAGAGCTTCAGCAAGGCCTGCGTGATGTACTTACACTCCTTGCAGGCGGGTTTTTTTGGAGGATTTTCTCAGAAAAGCTCCAAACATAAATAAACATAGGCAAAACATTTGCTATACTCACATGCTGCAACATGCTTACAAGTTTGGCTTCTGAGAATACTTCTGGTTCCTTTCAAGAGGGACATCACAGTGGCTAAGGGATCCTGAATTCAAACAATCGACTTAGTCGGACTTCTAGAGTTGTAGTGACAGATCCTTTCTCAGATGTAGATTGGCTTAGTGGAACTTGGAAGAGCTGTTTCTTGTTCAAATTTATTCAAGTTTCGAACATTGGCTTTCCTGACAGGCCGGTGTTGACCGCCAGTCGCTCGAAATAGCGCTTGCTGTGAGGCTGGAGGGGGTGGTCACAACGGATATAGAATTACACACTGTGGCACACACTTTATAAAAGAAGATAACATACCATTACATACGTGTGGGACTCTATAGTATCTACAGTATCTACAGTATCTACAGTATCTATCTATATACTTGGCTGTACAACAATCATACAACATATTGAACATATATCGTGGCACATCACTGCCAGTTCAGATCCTATCCACCCAGACCTTGAACTTATGAGTCTTATGAGTCCCACAGTGCCATGGTGTGCCTATTCGGACAATGAAACGATGGAAAGCCAGCAGTGCCAGAACGCTTTTTGCTATTTTTACTGGCAGAAGAGCTGCACAAAACCCAGAAGCTGCAAACACGTTTTGGAGCTTTCCTTTGGATAGCCATTGCTCCGTCTCTGCACAGGACTGTTGGAAGTAAAGAGGGCCACTTGCCAACATTTTGAGGGCTGTGGAAGTTTAACGGAGGGATTTGAACGATGAAATCTGCTTTATTTGATTCTCACTTCACACAGTTTCAACCAGGGAGCAAACCTGGAGTATGTATTTGTTCAAAGAAGACGCTGTTTCCTACTTAGGTACATCAAAGTCCCTGTGCAGCAAGTGCACTGATATTTGCCATTCTAGCACGAAAAAAACAAGCTATAGTCTACTAAAGACATTTGAGAAGGGTTAGTCCTGATGTTGCAAGAAATGTTGCAAGAAGTGGACAGCTACCACAAGTTCCCACATCAGAACTTTTCTGAAGCTTTGCTTGGTCAGAGTTCCTTCGGTCGTCATAAGGACAAGAGCTGAAGAAAGGCAAGAGTCCCTTGTACGTGGCTGCAATGAAACTGGCTGATGCGCCTTGACTCAGTTTCGTATTCACAGAACAGGTGCCGGGAGAAAACAAATGCAATGCAGGAGTTCAAGGGGATCTTGACAATATGGCCAGTTGCATGATTTGTAAATTCTGCCCAGAGAGTCTGGGTGGTGTGTAACCCTAGGTGACATTTTTTCAGGTGATCGAAGGACCATTCAAGCTCAAACTTCCCGCATGTATGTATGTATGATGTGTGTGTGTATATATATATATGTTGTACAGGGTTACTTTCTTTCGACCCTGAACCAAGGCCGCACTGCATACAAGAAGTCTTGAATTCAAGTACCGACACACACACACACTATATATATATAATATATATATATATGCAATATATACATACACATATCACGTATGAGATTTTACTGTTCAAACCAACAAATTGAACATTTGAGAGGGTCCCATCAAAACAGCTCCTTTGAGTTGTCAACACTTTTTGGCTCCTTTCACTGTGCCGTTGGCAGCGCCTCTTCAGGCAGTCAACGTTTCCGAAGGTCTTGGTCGTGCCACCAACCTCTTCCTCGAGGTCCAGGGTTCTATTCAGCTTCTGTTTTGTCGTTGCCAAGCCACTTCAAGCCACTTCAAAAGTCAATTTTTTCTCATTTTGTTAAAATTGCTGTGCTAAGATTCCAAGTTGTACAACCTGCAAAGCATTGCAAAAGCCCCAGGCCAATTGGCTGGCGCGAATGCTATTGCTGTTCCCTGCGGTACATCGAGCATTGAGTGCCGGTCATGCAAGTCTGGTCATCTCACGTGCCCTCTGGGGTCAGATTTGCCAAAGCTAGTGGTAAGAAGATGTAAGAAGATGTACGAAGCATGGCAAAGAAGGATGGCGCCAGTGAGATCCAACTGGAGCATTAGTATGCATTAGTACGCATTAGTATGCAGTAGTATCATTGGTATTCTTCAGCCTTAAAAGAACTTACAAGAACCAAGAAGAATCCAATACAGGGGCGTAATGGAGCCTAATGGTCTGAGTGCTTAGCAAGGTAGATTTCACCTCCTCTAGCAAGCTTTACATCCTGAGTGACACGCTGTTCAATCATGTATTAATTTGCACAGATCATGCCAAACGAAGAATTGGTTCGATCAGTGATTTGGTGTGTTCAGCATTTGTGCAGAAGTGAAGTGTTCAAGCTTTGTCAGAAAAGCATTTGGTACTGAAAGGTACATCCAGAGTAGTGGTTTGAACCTCAGGCTTACAGATTTCGCCTGGCAGACCCAATAGGATTATGGTTAAAGCTGTGCCTTTTTTTTCACCCTGAACCCTCCATTGTAAGTCATGTCAGATGTTGCACCTGGAATGCGGCATTTTGGGATCCTATTCCTCAAACAGGCATCTCACCAGCCACGCTAAGTTGATCTTCACGAAGATTTTGCTCTCGTGTGGACTTGCTGCGCTGTTCTTTCAGGGTAGTGCCAGAGGCGGGACGCTTCCAGTATGACTTTGAGATTTTGTAGGAACTTTTAAGGTACTGCTCTGGTACCGCTACGCTACTCTTTCTTCCACACTTTGCAGAGAATTCGCACATTCCAGCTGTCCCTAGTCTTCATCAGGGCTTACTCTTTTGCAGTCACACACAAAAAAAGGACACAGCCAGGAACTTTGCAAAAGAAAATAGTTTGAACAGCCACGTGCAGCAAAGCTTGAGTTTGCAAACTCAAGTGACCGGAGTTGGCTACTCAAGCGTGGGCCAGTGAGCAGCAGCCTGTTGATTTTAGTGCGTGAGGCAAGGAGGTTTCCCCACCCCTTCAACATCCTTGCACAATCTGCCTCAAAATTTTGCACATTTAGTTGCATTAATGCTTGCCTCTTCTACTATACTTCACACAACATTTGACAGCCAAATCATCAGCTTCCAGCAGGGAAAAGGCTTGGTCCAAAGGTGATTCTTTGTCAAATCTGTCAAAGCGGCCCGAAATGGTCGAATTGTGAACTGTGCACAGTTCGAAATCAGAACTTTGTGAACACACGAATGCATATAGAAATTCTTAAATATTTGCCATGGTCAAAAGTTGGATTAGGTTTAACGCATATTTTGGTACATTATCATACCACTAGTACTGTAGGTATACAATTGCAATTAACAACATAATGAGGATTCCCAAGAATGGTCGGATGACCATAGCCCGTGTACCATGTTTTGCCCTTGGTACATAGTCAATACATTTTAAACATGTATCTATGCCAGTACACCTTTGTTTAAAGGTAGATGGGCTGAGGACCTGCATTTAAGATGCTCAAGACGAGGTCCATCCCAAATTGAATTTTTATCCTGTGCTTATCCCTCAAAGTCTTCAGTGTACCCTCAAAGAACTATGTCCAGTCAGAGAAAGTGCACATTTTCAAGCATTTCTCTGAGCACTTTCTGAGCATTGGAAGGCAACGACTCTGAAGCTACATGCCACCTGGCAGAGGAATTGGGTGTGTGTGATATTGTGTGATCTCTTCACAAGTTGGTTCAGCAGTTGGGAGTCTCAAAATAGGATGCCCTTTCTGGCACACCATGCAACAAATGGTGAAGACAATGCTGTCACAGACAAAGCTGTCATAGACGAAGCTGTCATCACAGTTCTATCTTCCATGGACCTGTTCATTAAACCTGTTCTGTTGATTTCTGTTGCCTCCTTCCTAAGGTATTGAAGGAGGCGGTCTTGGACTCACAGTTGTACTTGGATTCGCTGCGGCCTTTGTTGGCGACTTCGTCCTCTATGGACTGAACAGCCTGAGGACGGCCCGGAACCAGAAGGCATCCAGTCACTGACTTGCAGAGGCTTGACGTATATATGAACTTTCAATCGATTTCACTCTCGTTGATTGGCAGGAAGCAGAACTTCAAGTCTGCTCGGAGCAACGTGGGCCTTCAGCTGAAGGTGAAGGAATGGCGCGTGCGGAATGCCCTCTTTTGGGTCCGTTGGCAGCACATGGCAACCTATGCAGACACATGTACACACACACATACACATACATACATACATACATACATACATACATACATACATACATACATACATACATACATACATACATACATACATACATACATACATACATACATACATACATACATACATA